TTCATTGGCACAAAGCAATGCAAGACTCCTTACAGGCCTGCGCTATGGGCGAAAGTCTGCTTGAAATTCTTCCACTGGCATAGAAATATATGAATTTTACATCCATAATTATAAGGGTCTCTCTGGTATTCTTTTGGGTTGTAACAAATTGTTGACGACGTCCGTGAGGAGTGATATGGAAGAGGGGTTGAGATGGATGCTGTCGAGCAGCTGTTGCGTGGTGGTCGGCGATCAAGTGAGCGTTACCCGAGGCAGTGGGTTGCAAAGGTGCTTGAGGCTACTGCTTTTTGGCTCTCTAAGCTAAGATCATATGTAACATTTGCTCTTTGTTGTACAATTAATGCAGCAGTACATATTTTATGATCAATGGAATTACCCTTACATTTTCATCCAGGACGGATGCTGAGAGCTTGCCCAACCCTACCGTTGAGTCAACATTGCATTGCATTATCTTGAGGAGTAGCCCATTATTCGTGACAGCCAAGACACAACTGGAGTTGTCGCATCTTACGACTGGTTGTATGCAATATGTGTGCGTGAACATACACGTGAAGGAAAAAGGTGCAACAGGAGACATTTTTCTAGCAAAACACTTTACCGCGTAACGTCGTGTATATCATACTGCCTTCTCTTACACTCGAAACAGCACGGCACAGAGTAGAACAAATCGGCAGAGAGGAGGAAAGCAGTGCACACGAAACCGTATTGTACTTCTCCATCCCACCGCATCGCTGGTCTTCGTTAGCCTATTGATCCTGCAGACTGCACACTGACAAGCTGTTAAAAGTCAGTGGCAGAACGCAGTCTCAGGTTTCGCCACTACTGCTTCTTTTGAGTGAGCTGTTATTTCAGGCAATATGATGCCTGTTTATTAGCACTGCACACAGGTGTGCCTAAATACATATGCACACAAAAGTGAAAAAATTTGGAGCTAAAAATGCGAGCAGAGTAAAATGTTACTACTGATCTAGTGATATATTAAAATAAAGGTAGATGATCAACAAGAAGCGGCCCAAAAGAAAGCCACAAAGAAAGTAAAACAAATAAAGGAATATTTTAAAGAAAATATTCCTAAGACGTTTAATGTTGCTGTCACTGTTGTAACTGCTTTGCAACTATATTCTTTTTTCTGATACCATCTTCAAACAAGTCAGCAAGTTTTGAAAGTCGAATGTGTATTGATGCTCTGGATGATAAAGATGGGTAGATCGTACATCTGCGCACATTTCGGTGAGTTAGTTCAGATTTTATTTGTGCATGTCATCTGAATCGAGCGTTCGATAGTTATAAAGCACAGACTTTAAAAGGCGTTTAAGGTGTGGCTTTGGTTGGGGTTTAATCCTTGTCTGTTTTACATATTCTTGCACTTTTCAATGATGCCCTTGTGATATATTCATGCATTGAGAGGGCCTATTTTATTAGCTTCACTTTTTGGAAAGTGATGTTTGGCAATGTATTCTGATCCTCAGGAAGTGATCGAACTTTCCGAACCC